TGATTCCAGTCCCGCTGCCTGTGTGCAGATACAGTACCAGCTTGCGATTGGCCAGTCACAGTGGTGCTCCACAAGGAGCTGCTATCCAATTGTGGCCGAGCTTGTCGTGTGGCCAAAATAGTTTGTGACAGTCAACAGCCTTGGCATGCGTTGGAACGTTTGCTTCCAGCTTCTTGACTTGCAGTTCAAGTCTTACAGACTGTCTCGCTTCACACCCCCGTTGAGCCAGCTGAGTTGCTACGTTCGGATCGTGGCAACTGCAGCTGAGCTTGGCACAATTTTCGGGCAACTGGGACCTAGCGTTCATGAGTTCATGCACCAAGAGCTTTCATAGTGTGGATAAGTATATAAGTAAAAATGTACATGCATGTCTTTTTTGGAACACCTAGGCAAGTAGTGGTACATCTGGATCCATGTTCCCCATCCGGAGCATCTTCATTATCCACTCCTTCGTTTGGATGTGTATTCGTAGATTGGTCTCATGTCTTTGCCCAAGTTCATCTTCCGTGAAGTCTAGTGGTCTAGTCTAGAAATATGGCTTGGCTTTTCAGCTTCTGGGCTTGTACAGTCGGTGTAGAAGTCGCAGACAGCCAAATCCAAAGCCTGCAACCCTTTGGCTTCAAGTCTTTAATAAGGCCAGATATTCACAAAGAGGAAGTCTACATACTATAGTAATTTGGCTTTCTTATTGTTTCATGCACTGCTGGCTGTATGTGATGATTCCAGTCCCGCTGCCTGTGTGCAGATACAGTACCAGCTTGTGGCCGAGCTTGTCGTGTGGGCCAAAACAGCTTAGCTTGGGACAGTCAATAGCCTTTGGCATGCGTTGGAACGTATGCTTCCAGCTTCTTGACTTGCAGTTCACATGTTACAGACCATCAGTTGGTACGGCCAGTGCAAAAGGAAAAAAATCAAGCGATCACGCACAAAGCAGCAAAGGCTTGACTTCCAGAACAACCCTCCAGGTAATCTCAATGTCCTAGGACGAAAACTGGATCCTGTTTTGGGGATGTTGGAACATGATGGAAAATGTATTATGATGTTCACAACCTCTTTTGTAGCCCTGTTCAAGGGTACAAGCATTTCATGGCAGGGTACACAGAGCCCCCCTCCATTGCCAACATCGGTGTCCACAGCAGTCTCCTCCGCGACCATCCTGTGGAAGTCTGTTTGAATGAAACGTCAACGAGCAGCTTTGCTTGGGGAGCGTCAACGGAGCCACTGACCGTCCAGTGTGCAGCTTTCGCCTTATGGCTCGGCTTTCCCTCACAGAGCCTCATGTGGAGCCTCACGATAGCTTTGTGGGGCTCTGTCGGTTGTCTCAAGCTGGTATGAAGTCGGTTAGGGAAATGCTTCCCTGATTCCCTGATTGCATCTTGTTGCTCTCCTTTTGGCTTTTCCCTCTCTTCTCATCTTCCGAGGCCATTGAACATGTCAAACTTTTTGTTCTTGTTTGCCTTCTTATCCTGTAAAGGACGGGCGCGCTCCTTCTTTGTTTTTTCCTTTGCTGCCCACTGCCATGCTATACTCCTGACTGCTTGGCTGCTAGGAAGTAGCGCTGACACGCTGACACCATGCTTCGCGCTGCCGCCCTGCTGGGCAGCACCATAATTAAATCGCTCTGGGAGAGGATTTTGTGATGAATTTGATGCATTGAGCATGTAGATTCTACCGTGATCCATTCGATGAGGGTTGGTGGGGAGGATGAAGCAGACACAATTATGTCTGTCGCCTTGGGTTTATCCTGAAAGCTTGTCAGTCGTGTTTGGAAAAAACATCCGAGTTCAGAGCCCCAATTTTGGCCGTATGGCCATGGCATGTGCGTGAATATTCATAAACATGCCAACTAAAGCGACCAAGCAGTGAAGACACTAAGCCTTTCCCCCGAGGTCAGATTGTAAATCCAAGCCCCGATTTGCACAGATGTGGGAAAAAAAGATGAGTCTCCTGAGTCTCCTGAAGAGTCTCCTGGTTATATACATCTGAAAGAAATTGATTAAGGTATAGGTATAAGTTATAAGTTTAGCTGCTTAGCTTAAGTGTGCAATGAGATCTTTGCGGTTCAAGCTGTTCCGGGACGTGTGGGAGAGTTGGCTTTGGGAAGTGTCAACATCCTTGCTGCCATGGGGTGCACTGCTGGCAAGGAGAGCGCTTCGATTCCTGGCGAGGTGCCTGGGATGTTAGATATTACGTTAGACACCCCGCTGTTTGCTGAAAAATTGAAGCGTCCCTATTGCTTTTCACCAGGCGGGCTGGTCAAAGCTTCCATTGGATAACATCATATAAAATCATGTTGACTGAAAGTCTGCATGGTAGCCAGTGATCGTACGTAGTTGTTGCATCCTGTGTGCACTGGACTGGCATGGTATCTTCTCGAGTATCAGGTGTTGTGGCAGAGCTTTAGCGTCCTTGCTCCTAGTAGTAAGGCCAGGAGCCCCTAGTAGCGTCCTTTTGATGTTTTTTTTGTTTTTCTGAAAGACTTGAGGAGGTTCCAATACTTCGGGCGAAGGAAGTGGCCTTCAGGGGAGTGGTCCAGATCCAGTGGGCAAACGGGGAGGAGGAGGATCAGCCGATGTCCGTCCATCCAGAGCTCAGCCTGCAACTCTTCCTAGCGATGGTGGAACAGAATGCCACTGTCATTCAAAGCCGGGTCGCTCAAAAGCGAAGAAGAGATTTTGGAGGCCAAACGCTGCTGACTTTTGACCAGCAAAAACGAGTTCATCATACAGCAATCAGCAATCAGTGAAGCCTCTCCAACAGACTCGGTCCGACTCAGTCGTCCCTCATTTTGAAGTGATGCATTTCTGTACAGTGCAAAGTCTCAAAGTGCCTAGGCACCACTCAAGGGCCCTGCTGAGTCCTCACACACTCTTTTGGCGGCTTGAGTACATGTACAAGTCCGTGACGGAGTCCGTGACAGCCAAATCCAAAACCTTCAAGTTTATATTATACCATATCAAAAAGGAAGCCAGTTGATTGCTTTGCTATACTTTGCTAGTTGTTGTTAGCATGGGCTGTTTGCGCATGCGTGTTGCTTCGGCCTAGCTGCTTATTTCCAGCTAGAGTTCCTCGAAAATGGCCAGTCACAGTGGTGCCCCAAAGAGTCCTGCTATCCAATTGTGGCTGAGCTTGTCGAGTGGAGACAATTGGCGCTTTCTGCCTGGAACTCCGGCAGTCAAGTCAGTTCGTTTTTCATGGCGTTCGGACACCTTTTGTTTTGCGGCTTCTTGACTTGTACAGGGAATTATGTTGACAAATTCAGCATTTTTCCCTTCAAGTTAGCCAGTGGGCAGACAGGCACTCTCGTGACCAGCACGGAAGGCTGCGATGGAAATCGACAAATCCTTTAGAAAGCGGTGCGTTCGGAACTTGTTTGAGTCAATCAGTTTGAGCAGCTTCTCCCAATGTCGTCAGCAAAAGCATCCTTGATATTCCTTGACATCATGTCTCCTGCATTCTCCTGGTCCTCCTGTCACTTGAAGGGTCTTGTGGCACTGAACCTGCCAGTTCCTTTGGGCTTGGGAATCTCTAGCCATCCATGGCAACAGACGAACTGCCCCCCCAAAACACGCCCATGACGTTGTTGTTCAGGCTTGGTTCGATAAGGCTCCTCCGGCTAGCGGCCAAGCGACCGAGCGTCGGGTCGCGACTTGAGGTCTCAGTCGCTCCAATTCGACCGGTGCCCTGAAGCGTGCATCCATGCCGGCGCGCAGAGGCTCGGAAGACCGATGAGCTTCGTTTCAAGCTTTGAAGCAAGCCGCGGTCAGGACGTACTGAGTCAGCTGATAGCTTTCCCGGAGAATGGCTCATGGACGTCAACCTTGGTATGGTAAACCGTAGCCACTAAATCACCCTCTCAGTCGAAGACTAGGATTCGCTACAGAAAACATTGACCGCGAGGCAGTGGCGTGGGTTTGGAGGCTTCGCTGCGCACTTAGAATGGTAGCTGTTGAGCTGCTTAGCAGCTGCTTAGCGAATCTCATGAGGTGATCATGGTATATTTCAAAATTCAAAACATTTTGAGCGCCGATGTATGGCGTTCCGAGACGCGGCAGTTGACGCGACAGGTGGCCGACCGTGTCGCTTGCTGGGTGCTTTCTCATGTGTTGACCGGGTCCTTCGGGTTCGGGGTGCGACGGTCCACAGATGAGAATTGGAGAACAATCTATGGTTCAGGTCAGCTTCTCTGGGTTAATGGACAGAGCTTCTGGGGAGAGATTCTCCCCTGACCCATCTCCAAGAGTCCCCTTTGGTCACCAACTTGTCGAGCTTGTCCATCGACGCGTGGGATTCGCAGAGTGCGAAACTCGACGATCTCATCGATGCGGTCGGGAGACTGCTGAGGGTGGAACGGCGTGCTTCTTTCGCGGTGAGCGGCCAGGTGATTGGGCCAAATTTCAGCACCGAGAGTGGGAGACAACCGCAGATCTCCATGGTGTTGTGGGTAAGAAGATGTAAGAAGATGTAAGAAGTATGAACACGAACATTCATGGATGAAATCCATTTTGCAAGCGACGTGGTGTTGTTCACAGGTCACCAGAGAGGTAATTACTGGGTTTTGTTGATATGATGTATCATGTCCAAGGTTCCGCTAAGATTTAGGATGTCTTAGGCCCCTGTACGTTGTTGCAACGCTCCCCAATTATTTTTGAACTGTGTAATATATAGTATAACATATAATATAATATATATATATATAATATGTATGTAATTTTTTGTTTAGGGCTGCTGCTACACTCCATTTCTGATACACATGGTCCACATGGTGTTCTACTTCTCGACTTGGGCTGCAAAACCAGGACCGTCAGTCGCAGACTTCACAGCGTCTGACTGAGGCGGCGCGGAGTGCTTTACCCTTGAAGGCAACGGAGAGTGTCGCAAGCATCTAGTAGCGTCATTGTTCCTAGTAGGAAGGCCAGGAGCCCCTAGTAGCGTCCTTGTTCCTAGTAGCGATGCCCTTTGGAGCCCCTAGTAGCGTCCTTGTTCCTAGTAGCGATGCCCTTTGTTCCTAGTAGCGTCCTCCTACGCAAGACAGCAAGTTGCAACAGTTGAGATCAATTTGGGGTCAGTTGCGGTCGTGTCGAGCATCAAGCAGACATGAGATATCCTTTGGCGTGAAATGTCGTAGCTGTACTGAGCTTCATGAGAAGGCTGTTACAGCAACTGTGCACTTGGCAGCTGGAACGGTGGTTTATTGCGGAGCTGCCATTTTGGTGTCAAAGCTTGGCATCGCTGGGTATCTTCATAAAGACAAGGTTCCAGTTCTGGCATTCAAAATTCATTATGTTGTGCTTCAATATCTCAAAGGAAAGGCACCCCCACCACCTTTTCCCCCAACCCAGCCTCTTACAACATCAACCAATCTCCGAGTCTCAATGTGTCCGCAGCAAAGCGGGTGCCAGCGGCCAGCTGCGGCAGGTCTTTCCAGTTCCTCCTTTGAGCCAGGTGGAGGTGGACTTGATCTTTGTCCAGGCCGGCCCCGTGGCCGGGGGCAAGCCTAATTACGCAGTCAATATCGGGTATACGGTATACTTCATATTTCAAGGCTTACGCCTAACAGCCGGGCGCCGGCCCACTTGGGTCT